GACACCATTAGCAAAGTGCATGTTTTGAAAATCGGACCGGCTGAAACCGGCAGTTTAACCGTAAACTACTCATATGGCCAAATTTGGCTTAATCATGAAATGCCCCACTATGCTTCACAATTTTTATGTCACACTACTTAATTCAACTATATTGTGAATTCTGTGAGATTGATTTATGGGAAAAGGACATGGGAATGGAAAGGAGAGGTATTAAAGATTTAACGCATTATTAGTGAGAGCGGCTGAATTCGAACCGCGCCGGTAACCTATGGAAATGGGTGATAAGAACCCACATGTAATCTAGAATTAAGGCATACGCGTCCCTTCTCAGTTCTCAGCACGTGGAATTAAGGAACGCAACTCTGGTTATATAAGGAATCAGCCAATTTAGATTAATAGCATACGCTGCATTGGTGAAATAATTACTATATTAATTTTTAATCTTAAAAAGTTGGAATCTTAGACCCTTAATACAACTTTTATTGAAATTAGAAATATAATGTGACATTAAAAATAGTGTCAGATATAAGACTATAATTAATTTTAACTATTTTAATAAACTATTATTTTATTATCATTTGCTTTAAACTATGACTACTATACAACAATTGAGAGCAACAAAAACTGGAAAGTATTAGTGCATCTTCTTCTTATTTCATCATTGAATCTGAACTAATTCTATTAATATAATGGAGTCAATACCGACTTCTATGTGGAGTATAAGGTTGACGTGTGTTATGTATATCAATCGGAGTCGGAGCAATCGATATTGCCCACAAGCTCTTATCGCTGCAGTCTTGTTAATCCTTAAATCGAAACTCAAGGGAAAAGAGAGGCTTCAGTTTAATAAGTGGCGAGGCTCAAAAACTGGAGCGTCACTGTCTCTATCGATGAATATCCTAATGCACGATATGCTCGATCTCTCGATGAACGTGCGCATAGAAGGCTAATGATGTCTAAATAGATATAGCTCGATGATACTCTAAAGAGTCTTTATAACAATGATAATAGTAAATAGATATATCTAATTATCTTTGTTATTAGAGCTTCTCTGTGCTACATTGTGAATATATGAGATTATATATTACTATAAATAGATAGACTTTATCTATACACTTAATATATATAACAAATCTATTATGATGTATGTATTGTATAAATAAGTGAGGCATAATAGATAACTTCTGAACCTACCAGATATATACCCTATCTCTCTCTGAGCTCGAGATCGAGCTCGATTAGTGGGCTCGAGCTCGACTCGTTTAGAAAATGTCAAGCTCGAGCTCGACTCGAAAGCTCGAGCTCGTTTGAAAAGCTCGAGCTCGAGATCAAGCTTGTTTGAGAAGCACCAACGAATGTGATGTGTATTATTATATACAAAAATAATATTATTATATATATATATATAATTATATCGAGTAGCTTGATAAGCTTTCGAGTTAAGTCAGGTTGAGCTCGAACTCGAGCTCGTTTATCATACGAGCTCGATTGTAGGCTCGAGCTCGAGCTCGAAGCTCGATATGCTCGACTCGCGAGCTCGTTAACGAGTCGAGTTCGAGCCGGCTCACAAGCCGGCTCGTCTCACTTACACCCCTATGTAGGGTCGACTATATGAATTCTTTTTCGTCATTATCCTGTTAAGGGTCAAATTCTCATTTGAATATAATAAAGAAATGTTATTTCTAATATTTTATAACCAAGTTTTTTTAGGTCTATCTCTACCTATCTTAATATAAGTCAAATATAATACATCTACTTTTTTAACCAGGTCATCAGAAGACCGACATTTTATGTGACCAAACCATCTAAGACGACTCTCTTTAATTTCATCTTTCACTGGAGCTACTCCAACCTTTTCACGTATATACTGATTTCGTATCATGTCTTTAAGAGAAAAGCCGCTCATCCGCCTGAGCATCCTCATCTTTACATTAACTTAATATTATACTTCTCTTTTAATGGCCAACATTATGCACCATAAAGCATTGTAGGTCTCACCACCATCTCATACAATTTTCCCTCAAGTTTTAAGGGGGACCTTTTTATCATTAAATAAGCCTGTTGCATTCCTCCACTACAACCAACCAACTTGAATTCTATTAATAATATTCCCATCTATTTCACTATCACTTTAAACAATAGACACAATATATCTAAATCATGTATTGCTATTAATGACTTGATCGCCCAAAGTCACAATCCCCCCTTTAGAACTATTACTACTAAAATTACACTCCATGAATTCGATTTTAGATCAACTCAAACATAAACCTATAGATTCTAAAATTGGCCTCCATAATTAAAGTTTTCCTTCACGTCCCTCTCTAGTCTTGTCAACAAGAAAAATATCATCAGCAAAATGCATGCACCAATGTACAACCTCTTGCAAATGTCTAGTGAGAACATCTATAGTAAAGCAAAAGGATAAGTGCTTAAGGCTGATCCTTGATGTAATCCACTGAAATAGGAAAATACTTTGTCAAACTAGCTTGTGTTTGAACACAAGTAATAACTCATGCATACATATCTTTAATGACTTGAATATAAGCATTATTAACCCCTTTCTTTTTTAGCACTCTCCATAGCACTTCTCTTAGAACTTTATCATATGCTTTCTCTAAATTAATAAATATCATATGTGGATCCTATTTATTCTCTCTATACTTCTCCATCAAACCACTCAATAAATATATAGCTTCCATAGTAGACCTACCCGGGATGAATCCAAATTGATTTTAAGAAGCATTAGTATCACGCTGCAACCTATGCTCCATCACTCTCCCATAGTTTTAAAATATGACACATTAACTTAATTCCTCTATAATTCACACAATATTGTGCATCACTTTTATTCTTAAAAATAGAAATCAACATAATCATTCTCCACTCATTTGACATTCTTTTATTCTTCAAAATAATTTTAAAAAGTTTAGTAAGCCAAGAAATTCCTTCATCTCTTAAGCATTTCCATACCTCTATTGGAATATCATCAGGTCCAACAGCTTTTCCACACTTTATTTTCTTTAAAGCCTATGTAACTTTAGTTTTATTAATATGCTGATAAAGACAAAAATTTGCACTTTCATTTAGAATGTTATGGTCACCAAAGTCAATCGTATTCTCACAATATTTATTGAAAAGTTTAGCAAAATATCTTATCCACCTTTGTTGAATATCTTCTTTAAATAAAAGTACTTTTTTGATTTTCATCCTTAATGCACTACACTTGCAGTATGTCCTTATTACTTCTCTTTCTTTGTTTGGGGCATACACATATATTTCACCCTATTTAGTGTCTAATTTATTATATAAATTATTAAAAGCTAAAATTTTTACATTACATGTTGCTTTTTTAAACTCGTTACAGACTTCTTGATAACTTTTTCAATTATCAGAGTTTTTATATTTAAGTCAATTTTTATAACAAATCTTATTATTTTTTATCTTTTCTTTCACATTTTGATTCTACCATCAACAGTTTTTACTATTACGAGCTTTTCCCTTTGATACTCCAAGCACATCTTTTGCAATATTCTTAATATCACTAATAATTTTTTCCTATATAACATTAGCTTCCTCATTTACAGACAAAATCATAGGATTTATAATCTTACTCTTAAAAATATTTTTATTAATGTTCTTTAAAAGTTTTTATCTAATCCTAGAATAACGTTTTACTTTATTTTATATATTTTGCCCCTTCATCTTAACATCCAAAATTAGTAAGCGATGTTGGGTATACAAACTTTCTCTCGAAATAACTTTACAATCTTTACAATCTAAACAATCTCTTTATCTTATAAGAAAATTATCAATCTAAGTTTTATTATATCTATTTTTATTAGTGATTAGATGCTTATCTCTTTTTTTAAATATGGTATTAGCAATTGCAAAGTCATAAGCTATAGAAAAATTTAATATGGTCTTTTCACCTTCATTAGTCACTCCACTATGAATGTTTTTAAAATCATTTATCTCTCTACAAACATGCCAATTTAAATATCCTCCAATAAATTTTTTTAGGAGGTATCTTTTGTATTGATTTTTCTAAGTCATTCCAAAATTTTAATTTGGAATACATATCCAAATCTAGTTGAGGAGCATAAATACTTATAATATTAATAATCATAGCATGAACAACAATCTTTATGACTATAACTTTATCCCCAATTTTATTAGTTTTTACAACATTATCCTTTAAGCTCTTATCTATAATAACACCTATACCATTTCTTGTACGAATCTTATCAGAATACTATAGTTTTAATCGTAAACTATTAATCTCTTTAGCATTCTCTTCAACCCATTTAATTTCCTGAATGCAAAGAATATTTATTTTCATATGAATCATAATATATATTAATTTCATTAATTTGCCTATAAGAGAACTTATAGTCCAATATCATATCTTAATTTTTGTTTCATGGACTAGCTTCTTTACTCACATCCGTTTATGATTTGGGAACCCTTGCCTATTTAACACTACACTCAGGCTCCGATGCAGCAACCCTTGCATACTTCTCACTGTATTCAGGTCATACATCTTGTCGCTTTAACACAATATATTAAAGGATTCATTTCATGACTAATTTGACAAGTTTTACGCTGGCTGTTGACTATCTAACGCACCCTCTACTTTTTTTCATTTAGGACTTGGGACCTGACAACCGTAATGTTTTTTTTAATGTGTTGAAGATATACTTAAATAACCAATGAGCTGAAGAGTGAGCACCCACTTCGTGGTATTCATACTTCAGTTTTACTTCAGCTTTCAGGCGAGTTAAAACAGAAAATCATTGTGTGTATGACTATATTGTAAAATCAATTTATTATGATGGATAGTTCTGCGGTAAATAAAACTTCTTTTTTGTGTGATTCTTCTATACCATATAGAGGCTTAATGTTATGCATAATAGTTTAATTCAGCTTTTCAATGGGTTTAAGCTGAGAATCGTTAAGTGAGATACGCATGTTCTTGAATTTGATCTTTTTCTTTTCAGAAAGAACGGTGCAGGGGTCTCCTTTTCTACAATGAGCTGTTGCAGACTTTCTACCTGTTCAAGATATGTGACTATAAGAGCGCCACACAACATGTTAATAAACTGGATGCTGCCATGAAGGAAGATCAGAAACAGCTCTCCCATGTGAAGGAGCTGGTTGGGGAGCTTAATACTGTGAATCAGAATCTTGCCCAGCTGAACTTGCAAGGGAAATCAAATACAACTTTGAGGGAGAAGCAGGACTTATTACATGACCAGCTGAGAGCTGCTACTGGAATTGATGAGGAGATGTTGGGATTTGAGGACAAAATCCTCTTGGGACCTCCCCCATTGGATGGGGAATGGCTACCGAGGAATGCAGTGTATGCGCTGGTGGATCTTGTGGTTGTTTTGCAGGGGCGTCCCAAAGGAGTGTTTAAGGATTGTGGGAAGAGGATACATTCAGGAATGAAGTTGATTCGTGGTGAGCCTGCTTTTTGCTATAGTTATTGAGCTGCAGTAAATAATTTGTGATATTTTTTTATTGGTAATTATTTGCATAACCTGCATGCACTTGTGGCAGACTTTGTCAGATTGACACATATATCAAAAGTGCACCTTGAATTCTCAGCTTGTTAATAATACAAACAAATTTAAATTTTTTTACCATTATTTTTTGAAGCTGAGTTGTTCTATGTTGTGCAGAGGAGCTACAAAAACTTGGCATTGGTGTCAACCAGAGAGGTAACTCTTTTGGGCTATTGATCTTGTTATTTTGATGCATCTTTTTGTTTAACATTTTTGTAATTTTATACCCGCATATCTTATTTATGCTTGTTTAGTAGGTCTTTACTGTATGGACTTGTTTGCGATTTCAACTTGGAAAACTAACCATTAGAATTGATTTGTCTTTAACATTAAACTATTCCATTTTATGAGTAATTTAAATAAAAGGAATTATACGCTCATGTTGTCACAAGATTTCACTTTATGTACGCTTCTGCACAGAGCTTTTATCATGACCAAGCCAACAACTCAGACATAAAAGATGTTCTCTCGTACATTTGAGACGAGGCACAAGCTGGTGGCAGTGATAGAATTTGAAAGATTCATGTATTAGTAGGATGGGATAATAACAAATTAATCATTCTGAAAGAAGGTACTACCAAATTAACTTATTGGAGCCTCAATAGACTGAATTTGAAGATTCTTATTTTATTTTATTTCCTTAATATCGGATGAATCATATGATAAAGTTTCAAGAGAAGTGCGTTGGTGTGTTCTTGAATTATACGCTCATTAATAACAATACCTATTTTAGACATCTTGTGTCTATTGTTAGAAGTGATGGTAAAATAGATGGAGATATTATTAGTAGAATTCAAGTTGTATGGTTGTAGTGGAGGAATGCATTGGGCCTGTTGTGTGATAGAAAAGTACTCAAACTCAAGAGAAAATTCTAAAAATGATGGTGAGACCTGCAATGCTTTATGGCGTAGAATGTTAGCCATTATAATAACAACATCAAGCCTTTGTCCCACTGTGGGGTCGGCTACATGAATCCTTTTTCGCAGTTGGCCATTAAAAGAGAAGTATAAATTTAAGTGTTGCAGATATGAGAATGCTCAGGTGGATGAGTGACTTCACTCTTATGGACATAATGTGAAACGAGTATATATTTGAAAAGGTTAGAGAAGCTCTAGTGGTAGATAAGATTAGAGAGAGTTGCCTTAGATGATTTGGTCACATAAAATGTCGGCATTCCAATAACCCGATTAGGAGAGTAGATGTATTAGATTTGACCTATGTTAAAAAAAGGTAGAGGTAAACCTAAAAAGGCTTGGCTAGAAAATATTAGAAATGACCTTGTTTATTAGAATTAAATGATAATTTGACTCTTAACAGGATGCAATAGAGAAGAAGGTTTCATGTAGCCGACTCCTCGGAATGAGATAAAAGCTTGATGTTGTTGTTGTATCGAATGAAGTTTCCTCAAGTCTGAACATGAAATCTAGACATTTCAGAATAATGAAGTTTGAAAACCGAGCCATATAGGATTTGCATCAATTACTGGTAAAAAAATTGAAATACATGTGGGTTGAAGTCATCATTTTCATCTAGAAAGTTACCAGATGATTACATGTCCTACTTAGTCTATGATTTTAAGATTTAGCATGTCACATTAATTGTGTCCGTTCCTTTAATTATATTGTCCCATGTTTAAATCGGAACTCCTGACCAATGTGCACATTAGATTAAATGTGATGCCATATCTCCTTTAATTTGTTATTAATTTTTTTATGCTGGGTTTCTCTTTCATTTAATAATTATTTTTTGAAAATTTTTGCCTAACTGAATAGAGATGGATATTCAGCATTCAGATATATGGATAGCTGGTCAATATTTATTGCTTCTAATGCAATTTCTTGAGAATAAAGTTGCGCTGGAGCTTACTAGGTCTGACTATATTGAAGCTCAGGAGGTAAAAATGGGAAAGTATGCCTGCCATATTTGCATTTCTATTATGATTTTTTTTGGGGTTAATTGGATTTCTCTTCCTGTTTAATATAGAAATTATATCCTTAGCCGAAATCCTTTGATGTTCAATTTTTCTTTTGTCACAATTTGAACATAATATCTGCAGTATTTAACTTTCCAAACTATTTGTCTTTTTATCATCAGACGATAGTGCAGATGAGAAATTGGTTTATCCGTTTCCCGACAATATTGCAAGCATGTGAGTCCATTATTGAAATGCTAAGAGGGCAGTATGCTCATTCGGTTGGTTGCTTCCATGAGTCAGCCTTTCATTTCTTGGAGGCAACAAAGGTTTGTATCGTTACTGTGAATACAACTTACTTTTTTAAAAAATGCTCTCTGAATCATAGCAAAGCCAATCAAAATCAGCCATCCTTTTATAATGTATTTGTATGGTATGATTCATGTTCTTCTGAGCCATATGCATATATATTCTGAAATTGATGATACGTTTTTTTTTTTTTTTCAGCTCACTCAAAGCAAGTCGATGCAATCTATGTGCCAAATTTATGCAGCTGTTTCTTATATCTGCATTGGTGATGCGGAATCATCTTCGCAGGTGGGGCTGACCTAACCGTGTAGTAACTGACATTGGATTCCTTATAAGTAAACCAGTTATGTACGGTTGATTTATTTGCTAAAGAAACATGGTTATCTTGATACTTTCTTTTCCAATATTCAGGCGTTAGATTTGGTAGGACCAATTTACAAAATCATGGATTCATTTGTTGGAGTACGAGAGAAAACTTGCATTGTGTTTGCTTATGGGCTTTTATTGATGAGGCAGCATAATCTACAAGAAGCTAGGTAAGCTGCTTTTAACTTTCATAGCATGTTTGTTCTTTTCAGGTTTCAATTATTGTTTCAATATTTTCAATTATGTTTTGGAAGAGAAGTTCTAAGAAATTATATGGGAAAGTATTAGGTTGAAAAGTTATAACTATAATTTATTCTTAATTGTGATATTTTCCATCTTATTATCTTCTTTCCTATTATTTTTGTTCACCTATATATGACTTGTTTGTAGTACGGTTTAAAATTTTGCAATTGGCTATTGAGGTATTTTTTGTTCGTGAGGCGATGTGTAAAGCCTTAAGGCATATATAGTAATTTTGATATAATAATATTAATATATTAACGAATGACATATTAACTTTCTATTTAATAATAAAGTAATAAATTGACATACGTATAAAATAAAAAAGTTAATGATGACGTAGAGTGACAATTAATGAATTATCTGAAATATAATTGAAATTCAAATATTACTAGAGCCAAATAATATAAAATATAAAGGTTCTATAAATTCCATCTTGCCCATTTCTCTATTCATCCACATGTTATTCTTAATGAAAGCTATAATAGTTGGCAACAACTTAGAAATTATCTGCACTGTTATTACTTAGGAGGTGTTTATTTGAGTCATCATCATAATAAATTGGTCTCTCTCATACCTTATCATGTGGATTCTAATGCCTCTTATATTGCTTCTTCATTTATTTAAGTCAATTTATTATTTCATAAATATTTGTTATAAACATAAATACAAGAGTAATATTCCCAAAATTTTAGGGGAGGAGGTGGAGGTGATGTGCGGCTTCCAAGTGATCCCTAATGTAGACTACAAAAGTGGTGGTTGCGGCGATGGTGACAGTTTGGAGGTTGAGGCAACCAAGAAGAAGTGTTGCGACTTGAGGGGGCATAAACATGTAATTTGTTCGGGGTTTAGTTTAGGATTCAGATAAATTTTTCTTTCTAACATTATATTAATACAGGGAAAATCCTCATCTTAGTTGCTCCCTTCCGCTCCTCCCCAAGTCTCTTTCTCTCAATCCTCTTCTTTGTTCATTTCTATTTTTTTTTTGTTGTAGCCCATCCATGCTTTGTCGCAGTTGTTCGTTTGCACCAACTCCAACATCTACTTGACCTTGCTTGTGTCTTTATCTATGCTTGCTCACCTGCTTGCTCATGCAATCTTTCATGCTTGATCACTTGTTTGACCATGTTGTCTTACATGCTTGCTTCATACACTCGTGCGGTCGTTTGTACAATTTTTGCTTTCATCCATGGCTTGTCCTTACCTTCTACCTTGCTTGTACACTCATTATACTTGCTAGATGGTCTTTGTTGAGTCTTGCCTTCACCTTGATTTATTATTTATTATATCATTGTCATATTCTTTTCTTTTCTATTAGTGGTTGTTTGTTGATGGCTTCCTACACTACTCTCTTGGAGATGGGAACCTTGCCCACTATTGTTATAACTATCAAATTCAATAGTACCAACAATCTCTTGTGGTCTTTGAATTTTTGCTTTCTTATAGAACCTCATGAGAACATTAGTCATTTAGATTCTTTGCCACCAATTCTGGCGAACACCTTTAAGTGTGCCAAATGATAAGTTTCTGACCATATGGTTCACAAATGAATATTCAATTGCTTTGAATTAACTATTGCTTCGAATTAATTTTCTTAGCATGTATGTTCTTTCTAGTTAAGAGGTAATGTTTTTGATTATTTTTTCAATATTTTTATATTTGTTATGAAAGGGAAGTTCTATGAAATGATATGGCAATCGGGGCGCGCGATTGATGATATTCCATCTACCTTGCTCTTTAACCCTCAATCTTTTGATCTCCCTCCTCTGGAACCGATCACATTGGAGGAGGTTGATGCGAGACTGATGGCTGTGGAGAAGATGGTGAATCTCTAGGGCATTGGTGATCCAATTGTCCTGAGAGATGAAGTGGTCTGCGTAGGGTTGTCAAGCTACAATGTGAGGTGGGCAAGCTAAAGGAGATGATTTCCCATCGTGGGGCCCATGAGGGATGAGTGGGGCTCAGTTGTTGAAGCTACATGTGAGGTGGGCAAGCTAAAGGAGATGATTTCCCATCGTGGGGTCCATGAGGGCTGAGTGGGGCTCAGTTGTTCAACAGACAATGTTGGGAAGCATCTACACTGGCAACAAGTACCTGGAGCAGATAGATGGCCTAATGTCGGCTATGGTGAGTTATCCTGTGGTAGGGATGCATCGTGGTAACTGGCATCCTGGGTTGCAAAAAGTTTTTTTTTAATGCTTGTATTCGCCTTTTGGTGATGACTTTATTGGAAAATTTAATGCAAGAAATTTCTCTTTTTGAGTAGAGGTTTTAGGTATTCACCTTTTTAAGCATCACTAAATGAATATGACTTGTGAGATCGTCACAAGAGATTTTATTGGTGTCAAGTGAGAAATGGATTTTCACCTTTCTGCCCAAGTCTGTTACTAGCGGCAATTGCCATTAGTGAAGCGAGTGTTAGTGTGGGAAGTAATGGCGATTAACATTAGTAGATCATTTAATAGAGTGGTGGTAACTCACCTTGTGAAGATTGCCTAGGCTGGAGTGATGATGTAAGCAAAAATTTGGGAGACCCAAATTTTTGCTAGAAAAATTAAACCTTTCTAGATAATATAAAAAGCATAAAAAAGACAAATTAAACAAACTTATATAAATTAAAAGACTTACAACCATTGACTCTTACAAACGACACAAACACAAATTAAAGACAAACTCCTAAAGTTGCTTTCCTTGAGAAGAAGGATACAGGTGGGGTGTAAAGTTGCGGATAGAAGAAGAGGTTAGAAACCGAGGCGAAAGAGGAGAAGCTCGTAAACTTTCCTAGAAGAGGAGTAGAACAGATGGAACAACCTCGCAAGCTTTTCCAACAAAACCCGCAGGTTTACATTTCCAAAAATCATTCACATAACATGCTTCAAACAGCCACAAAACATCTTATATTTATAGACAAGAGAAGGGAATACAAACAACCCCAAAAACCCTTCATATTCTTAATTAAATAAGGGAAATGAAAAGCCAACAGTCAACTCCAGGAAACAAAGCACCATAGCCACGGAAAAGCCCCCCAAAAGTCACGGGAAAGCAGTCCAAGCGGAACTCGAAGAGGCAGCCGTGGGAACCAAGGAGCCAAGGCATGGGAACCCAAGAGCCATCCACGGGAAACGAATGGACAAGGGGAAGGAGAAGAGACAAATATTAATGAGCTACTAATAAATTAATAAGTGAACTAAAAACATAGCTCATAATGAGCTAACTCTTAGTTCAATAAATGAACTAAAAACCAGTTCAAAATGAGCTAAATCTTTGCTAAAAAATTAATGAGCTAGCAAGCTCAAGGAAAGTCAAAACCAATTTTTTTTTGGGTTTGATTTGACCCCCCCTTTGTCTACACCAGACTCCCCTACTTGAGAACTCATCTCCTGATGAGTTAGATTTGTTCTGAAGGCGTTGCATCAAGAGACACCAAGGTCTGAGATTGCTCACTTGACACCAAGACTCAAATCACAACATGACTCAAAACAAAACTTTCATGATAACTAACATGACATCAAGACACACACGACTCATAAACCTAGGACTTCCTAACTTGCTCTGATACCAAAATGATGTAACTCAAATTTTTGCTAGAAAAATTAAACCTTTCTAGACAATATAAAAAGCATAAAAAAGACAAATTAAATAAACTTTACTTATATAAAATAAAAGACTTACAACCATTGACTCTTACAAATGACACAAACCCAAATTAAAGACATAAATTCCTAAAGTTGCTTTCCTTGAGAAGAAAGATACAGGTGGGGTATAAACTTGCGGATAAAAGAAGAGGTTAGAAGCCGAGAGAAAGAGGAGAAGCTCGCAAGCTTTCCTAGAAGAGGAGTAGAAGAGATAGAACAAGCTCGCAAGCTTTTCCAACAAACCCGCAGGTTTACATTTCCAAAAATCATTCACATAACATGCTTCAAACAGCCACAAAACATCTTATATTTATAGACAAGAGAGGGGAATACAAACAGTCTCAAAAACCCTTTATATTCTTAATTAAATAAGGGAAATGAAAAGCCAACAGTCAACTCTAGGATACAAAGCACTATAGCCACGGAAAAGCCCCCCAAAAGTCACGGGAAAGCAGTCCAAGCGGAACCCGAAGAGGCAACCGCAAGAACCTAGGAGGCAGCCGTGGAAACCAAGGAGGCAGCCGTGGGAACCAAGGAGCCAAGGCACGGGAACCCAAGAGCCATCCACGGGAAACGAATGAACAAGGGGAAGGAGAAGAGACAAAAATTAATGAGCTACTAATAAATTAATAAGTAAACTAAAAACATAGCTCATAATGAGCTAACTCTTAGTTCAATAAATGAACTAAAAACCAGCTCAAAAATTAATGAGTTAGCAAGCTCAAGGGAAGTGAAAACCAAATTTTTTTTTGGTTTGATTTGACACCCCCTTTGTCTACATCAGGTTGAAGATCAAAAAGTATTTTTCTTAGAAAATATTCAATAAATGTGGATGAGATATTTTGCTAAACGTTTTAATAAAGGATGTGAAAATACGATTGACCCGACCTCGATTGAGCCCGATTAGGCTTGATCGTGTTCGATCGACCCAATCGATCATCGTTGAGGCAAAATCGAGTAAAATTAGACCCTGATTTGATTAAATTAATTTGTTTTAGTCAAATTAAATTTGATTTAATTTAATTAAAATCAAATCAAAATCAATCAAACCCCGTCGAGCGTCGTCGATCCCAATTCGATGCGATTTGGCACCCTGTGTTCGGTCCGTCCAGAGAGAAACCGAGAGAGAGCGAGCGAGAGAACGGGAGAGAGGAGGCGGTGTCACCCTGCTTGCGTGCGGCCCTTCCAGATGAGGGAGGAGGCGGAGCCAGAGGTCTTCTCCAGCGCCTCTGCTTGTGTCCGTTCGAGCCCTTTCTCCTTCCGACCCAGTCCGTCCCAAACAGAGAGCGGTAGAG